CCGTGGCAGGGACCGCGCTCCCGGGGCCCGGAGCGCTGCTCCCAGCGGCGCGGTCCCTGAACGGGACGGCTCCTCGGCTGCCCGGTGGCCCGAAGCCGCGGAGGGAGGCTGCCCGCAGCCTCCACGCCGATGCTCTGTGAGCCTCTCTCAGCCGGCGATCTCTGCGGAGATCCCATCGCTCCGTCGGGGGTACCCTCACTTCAGAAAAACCAGGGAGTAACTCCAAGCGTAGCTGTTCTAGGGGATGGACAAGTTGGCAAGTTTAAGTCCCGGTCCAACTCCACACGGTAAGGTTATTAAACAATAAAGTGGTGAGCGTGCTGTGCCTTTACTTTTAGTTTCTATCATATTTCAGGATCGTGCTTACATGCAATCTGTTATCAGCCATAAGGATGTTTATTTTGCTCATTTGTGTAGTTGATTTTTTTATTTTATTGCTATAGGGGTTATAAGCCAGTGAAGTGATAAGGTAGGCAGAGCTCAGTCAAGATCAGCAGTCAATGTACTGTAACTGTGTCTAGTTTGGGGATGAAGAAGAAACTTTGTAATCACAAGCAGTTCAGTCTGTCATGGTATTGTCAGTCAGATAGAAATGGAGGGGAATTCTGTCCCCGTTACAAGGAAATACAAGGAGATACTTGAGAATACTAAATAAAGTTAAATAAAAATAAAGTAACGGCTGTCACATGCAGACTCTATTCATTCTGTTGTGCTATGAGGTCAGCCCATCATTCTCCTAAATAGTGTGAATCCCCTAATAAGGCTCTTACTTTACATTGTTGCAGTGACCAGGATTGCATAGTTCTGTTCTGCTTCTCCAGGTGATGTGACAGACCAGACATAAATGTTTCTCTTCCCTTATCTCTTAATGGCCTTTTATCTATCAGTTGCCGGTTAAATGTTTGGAATTTAAAAAAATACTAGTGTTGCAATTTTTCTCAAATGCTTCCTGAACCTTGGAACATAAAGGGAAGAGGCTTCCCCTCCGTGTGAAAAACACTTTCAACACTTTCCTTTACCTTCACGGTATTACACCTGTAATCCCAGCCCTTTCTCAGGTGCCCATGTTGCAGTAACACACGTTCTACCTCAAGAAAATTTGAAAGACTTTTTTCATGCTGATTTTTCCCTTTCAAGCACAGGGACTGCAAGTTTGCTTCCTGCAGTAGCTCTTGTCCTTACCAGGCCTTGGCATAGAGTTTGAATCTGATTCTCCTTGTGTAAAATGATGTACCGTAGCAGAATTTCAATTTGCCATATTTCTGATTGGGAAAAACACCATGCTTTTTTAAGTGGCCGTGGACCCTTTTTATCACATTAATATTTTAATTTGCACATTACTTTTTCCTTGCCATGGGGCTGGCATGTCATTTTGTTCTCTTTGCTCCCCTTACGCAAAGGGTGGTAGAGTTTGGTTGTCACCATTGCCTGTTCTATTGTCAGGTTAATACTAAGTGTTCCACATGTGCTCTGGTGCAAGCAAGGAAGAGACATAAGTGCTCGTGGAAAAATTACTAAATGAACAACTTTTTCCATATTATTTCTAATACTAATTGCCAAAAGCGTCTATCTTTTGTGATTTTCAGGCTATACATTTGCACAAATGTGAATCTAATTATTTTCTATATTGCCCTGCCTTACAGGTTGGCTTGCAGTCAGCTTTGCTAATTCTTCTAGGGAGTCAACTTTGCCATCAGAAATGGAGTACAGGACTCAGCTACCACATCCTGAGTGACCGAATCCTTTAATACAAAATGGAGAAGAAGCGGAGAAAGAAATGAGCCTGTTTATAAGGCTTTACCTCAAAAGACCATGAAATCTCTACTTATTTTGGACACAGCTTTAAGAATATCCAGTTGATCAGCACAGTGAAAGCAATGTTTACTGAAACAAAAATGAACTAGTTTATAAAGAAGAAAATTGTGATTTGAATATATGGAATTTTTGGAATGAAACCATTTTCTTCTATGACCATGAAGTTTGCAAACATCTGGTTTGTTCTCGTTGTTATTTTACTCTGTGGCAAAAAACACTTCGGTACCAGACTAGGGAATTCCTCTCATGAGGCTCACATATGTCCTGGATGTTCTCGCCTTACTTTGAAAGTGGAATTCACTTCAACAGTCGTGGAACATGGTAATAAAGAGTTAAGCAGCAAAAAAAAAAAAAATCCCTGTGAAGTTCAAGTGTATGTTACTGATTTGTGGTGTTTGTGCAATTGTAACATTCGGAGAGTTTCTGTAGAAGCATATCATCTGCTAAATTCTCTATATTCAAAAAGAGAAACAGATTTTTTCAAAGGTTCTTGGTTTAACTGGAGGCAAAATTGAAAGAACAAGAGAAGGAAGAGAGGGGGAAGTAAAGAGGATGTTAAAAGTGAAAATGGAGTGTGAAGGCTCAGGTGGGCAAGTGTGGTCACTTTGGTGCGTTTAGTAGCTGTTTGTTTCAACCTGGCCAGTGGTATGGTTGAGGCTCTTTTACAAAATTTAACCACAAGTGGGCCTTGGAGGGGTGAGAAAGGCAAGAAATCTCTGTGGGTTTGTTCAAGGAAAAGTTTGGAAGCAGTAATATGTGCATGGCAAAAGTTGCAAAGATAATTGTGAGGGGAGCAGGTGAAAGGCAAAGTGAGGCAGATATCACTGCTGATATGGCAAAGGGTAGCAGTAGGACGCTTTGACCCTGCGTCCACTTACTGCCTCAGGTACCCGTAAAGTTTCTGCAGTGAAGCTGTGTGTGTGCCTGGGTGCTTACAGGCAGGATGTCCATAGTGACGTTTCTGTGCGTAGTTAGCCAAAGACTTACTGTGGTGAACATGGCGGTGTGCGCTGGGGCTGAGGTCCACTCACAAATCACTAATCCAGCTCAAGGACTGGACTGTTTGGACCAGCTTCGTTCTCTGTGCGTCGTACTTGGTGTCAGTAGTTTGCACGAAAACTCAGTAACATAAAGAGGCTAGATGTCTTTAAATCATACATGTCAAGAAGCATATTGAATTGGCGTATCAAGCAGTTGTTTGTACTGCTGGATGTAACACTAAGTCTGTTACCTCTCCCCTGCTCCCCCCATCATTTCACCTTTCCATGATGTTTACAGTTCTACCTTCCTTTCAGAGGTTTTTATCATATTTCGCAGGTTTCCTGATGGGGGAAAAAAAAAAAAGGCATTGTGTAGTGCAGAAATAAATCACAGATTTCTAAAAGCAACAAAAAGGTGCCTCAAATTGTGATTATTTGTTCTGGAGAAAGAAAAAAAGAAATATTTGGACCTTTGTGATGTGAATGCGTGAGTAAGCTGCTTAAACATCAGTTCTGATAAGTTGTGCTCTTGTTCCAGAGTATATTGTGGCTTTTAATGGATACTTCACAGCTAAAGCTAGAAGTAAATTTATTTCAAGTGCACTAAAAAGTAGTGATATTGAGAACTGGAGGATTGTACCTCGCAACAACCCAGCCAGTGACTATCCTAGCGATTTTGAAGTTATTCAAATCAATGAGAAACAGAAAGATGGAGTACTGACACTGGAAGATCATCCAAACATCAAGCGTGTAACACCTCAGCGGAAGGTCTTCCGATCACTCAAATATTCGGAGTGTAAGTAATTTTCTG